CCCCCCCCCCCCTCCAGGCCAAACCTCCCCAGGGTCCTCAGCCCTTCCGCCCGGGGCCTTTGCCCTCGTGGTTGGGCTCCTCCAGACCTTTTCCGTCTGAGCCCCTGACTCGCTTGCTCTGGGCAAGGTCAGGTCAGGTCAAGGCAGGAGAGGGACTAGGAAGCCCCCCGCTGGCAGCTCGCCGGGTGGCCGGCCGGTGGAGGGCCTGCCTCCCCGTTTTCAAGGCTGCACCCTCTCTCAGCCCTTCCGCCCGGGGCCTTTGCCCTCGTGGTTGGGCTCCTCCAGACCTTTTCCGTCTGAGCCCCTGACTCGCTTGCTCTGGGCAAGGTCAGGTCAGGTCAAGGCAGGAGAGGGACTAGGAAGCCCCCCGCTGGCAGCTCGCCGGGTGGCCGGCCGGTGGAGGGCCTGCCTCCCCGTTTTCAAGGCTGCACCCTCTTGGTCGCTCCAGGACTGGGCCCCTGGCAGCGATGCGGAGATCATAGAACCAGGGAGTGGCCTATAAAGCCCCCCCCCGAGTCCGACCCCCTACTCCATGCAGGGACCTCAAAGCCCTAAGTCTGTGGGTGGAGAAGACTCTGGCCATTGGGCGGACACGGGGGCGAGAGCGAAGAGAGCCTCCCGCCGGGCCTTCCTCCACTAGTTGCTCAATCGCACATGGGGGGGGAAGCCGCCTGGGCGGCCCCTCTGGTCTCCCATTAGCTCACGCCCTCCTCCTGCACGGTGGACACTCCTCGAAAGGCCAGAGGGGGTGGCGAGGCCTTTTGGCCTACCCAGCCAGGCGCTCTCCTTGTGCCGCCTCCTTGAAGCTGCAGCCAAGCCAGGAGCTGCCGGCCTGTCCCCAGTGGTTGGAGGCTGGAGCCCTCCTTTCACTCCCTCCTGACCGGAGGCGGCGAAGGGACCAGAACTTCAAGGCAGGACCAGCTGAGTCAAGCCTTCCTGAGCCGGTTCAGCCCGGGGGCTTCCGGAGGGCAGCAGCTGAGTCGTTGAGATGAAGAGGCGGCCACGCGCGGATACTCTCGTCTCATCGCTTCCCTGCAGAATCCCCCCCGCTAGACGTGCCGTGACAGCTTTGCAAGAGACTTGCAAGACAGATTCGGTCTGCTTTGGGACTAGCAAAGGGTTTGAGCGCTGTCTTTTGAAAGGGGAATTCCAGGAAACCTTTTGCTGAGGAATGAAGGCGAGGATGGCCCTGAAGCCGGGCTGAATTCAGGAGGATTTCCACCTCTCTGCCTCGGGGGGTGGGGGGTGGGATTGGAAGAGGCCGAAGCAAGCATGATGTTAGCCCTGATGCAAAGACCTTCGGGGACAGAGGGCAAAGCCGGCTTTGGGGGCCAGAGCCGCTGAGCCAGATCCGTGACCCCCTCAACGAATGACAGCTCCCTGCACGCTCCTTGCTAACATCCCCTGCCGGTTCCTCTAGATCTTCTAAAACTGCCACGCTTCAGTCTGGGCCCAGGACTCTGGCCTCCTGCCAAGTCGAGCGAGGCCAGGACCCCTTGGGAGTCGGAGACGGTGCCTCCCCCAAGGCCCCCACGCTTGGGCGAGCGGCAGCTTCCTCTAAAACGGCTCCTCGGCGCTTCCTGTGCTTTGCAAAAAGGCCCAAGACCGAGATCTCTGGGAAGGGCCCCCGCCGTGCCTGTCTCTTGGAGGAGACGTGCCAGGCTTTGTCAAAAGCCCCGTGAACGCAGGCCGGGTTGATGCATTACGCTGGCAGACGACGGTCCCGAGCCGTCTCGTTTCCCCTTTCCACGTGGCTGGGCTTGCTCACCGGCGGCTCCCCATTGGCTGGGCCGAGGCCGGGCCAGGCCGGTCGCGTTCTTAAGAGTCACTTTGGCTCTTAAGCCTTCTCCGCTTCAAAAACCCATTACTTCCACCCGTCGCGGCCGAGCGAGCGAGCGAGCGAGCGAGGGGCCTGCTTTGGCTGGCCAGGCGGCTTCTGCCTGGGTGGATGGAGATGGAAAGTGACGTGCCCAAAGCAGGGAGAGGGATTTTGCTTTATCCCTGGGCCAGCTCCAGGGGTCTAAAAATATCCCGAGCCTTAAATATTCATGCCTGGAGCTGCACCCTGCCGGAGAAGGGCCTTCCTCGCCTGCTGCCCGGCCGGGTGGGCGCTGGGCGCTTGCTGGCAGGCCTTGGCCGCGAGACGCTTTTAAGGCTCTTGGTGGGAATTTGTGAGTAACGCTGCCATCCCCAACACACACACACTCGACCCATTTGCCTTCTGATGCCAGGGCTGGAGTGGAAGAGGGAGAAGTGAATACCTGCGTTCACAAATACGGTGTGACGTGACCCCTGCTGCGTGTGCGAGAGACACCTGGAATTTGTAGGTCACAACAGAAAAGCCTCAAAAGGAAGCGGGACCCGAAGAATGTTCTCGGCTAGGAAAATGCACGGAGAAACCGTCTTTCGGCTTTTGGGCCAAAGCCACCCCTTTGCCCCCTTCCTTCCTCTCTGCCTCCAGGGAGCTCAGGCGTCTCCGAGGTGGTGGGTGGCTTCTTCTCTCTCGCCTCCCCGCCTGCCCAGTAGGCAGCTGGTGACTTTCTGGAGTAGCGACTCTGTCCTCTCACACACACACACCCCCGCCGGAGGGCATGTCTGTCCCTCTGGGAGCTCTCCATGGTGCTGAAACCTGCCCACTGGCAAAAGGTTGTGTGTGTCCCCCCCTTGTACAACATTGCACACGGTGAACCCCCAGATCTGCTCCTCTGAAGAGCAGTGAAGGAGGGGTGGGGAACCCCAGGATGGAATCTGATACCCCCCCCGAGATGGTCTGAATCATGCACTGCGGGCCCCCTTCCTCCCCCCCCGGACATCATGGGTGGCTGGTCTCTCTCTGCCTGTGTGTTTGTGACATGATGAGGAGAGATCACACCCATCGGGGCAGCTTGGAAGAACACCTTTGGCTAAAGCGAGGGGGCCCTCTTTTGAACTGGGGGGCCAGGGCCAGCTTCAGGGAGGGGGCTGGGGGGCATCTCCCAGGAAGGCGGCACCCCAGGCCAGAAGAGAAGGACAAGAACCACCGACCGGCCCACCTTGGCATGGGGTGCTCTGCTGGCGGTGAGATGATGGGATTGGTAGTCACAGCGATGGAACTGGCCTGAAATCACGTCTGTGGGCAAAGGACAGGGAGTGGGCTCGAGCAACCGGAAGTTCATCAATGTTGTTAGGCTAATGACACAAAGGAAGGCGACCCCTTTGTGCAATCCAACAGAAAGCTGGTCGCTTGGCTGCGTCTGAACCCTTGCCGTGTGTTTTTTTCCCCCAAACAAGCCAGGAAATGAGGCTAGGACCTGTCTGTGCTGTGAGGCATGGGACTCTCTCGTGTGCACAATTAAGAACCATTAGCTTTACAAAAGAACCGCTCCAGAGTATTGAGGGACGAATGTATGCCTTAGAAGGGGGACGTTGACGGAGCCCCGAGCGGAAAAGTCGGAACGTTTAGATCCTCTTTGGGGTGTTCCCGTGGGGAATTCTCGCGAACCCCTCCTGGACCTCCCAGCAGACACACCCCCACACCCCATGGTCTGTTTGCCCCCCTGCTGTGTTTTCCTGATGATGTTCTGCCTCATCTCTCCCGCAGGAGCCGCGCAAGAGCTCCCTAGGAGGCCGGCCTTCCCGTCTCTTCCCTCAACCTGACAGCTTGGCACCTGAGCCCGACTGAGCAAGACCAGGGTGGCATTGGGGGCATCTGAGCCTCCGCCGCTGGCCGGGAGGAAGGGGAAAGCGGCAACTGAACAAGGCACAGGTATCCGACCACCGGGGACCCACCGGACAGGTAAGCCGCCCGGGGGCTCGGCTGGTTCAGGCGGCTCCCTCTTTTCTCACGTTCTCTGTGCGGTGCCCCCTTTGCTGAGGCCACTCTGGCCCTCGTGGTTTCCATTTGGCTCTGACCAGGCCTTGAACCTTCCAGAGGGCCCGTGGGGTCTGTCTGTAGCGGCCCCGCCAACCCAGAGTCTCCTGGTGCTCAGAAGCCTGTAAAAATATGCCCCAAATAGCCATGTCGAGGATCCCTGAGACTCTCTGACTGAAGCGCTCAGAGGCGGCGGTCGCCCTTGGAGGGGTGCACCAAAAACTGAGTTGAGGAAGCAGAAAGACTTTGGAAGGGGAAAAAAGAAAGGGTGGGGTGGGGGGGGCTTTTCATGTCATGCTCTGAACAACTGGACTGCTTTAGAGGGTTGCCCCTTGGCAGAAAGGTTGGGAAGAAAAAAATGCTAAAAGGGCAAAAAGGTGTACTAGTTGAGGATGGCAGGTCACCCATGAACATCTTGAGGGCGGGACAAGAGGAACCTTGAAGGTCTCCCCAATTCTATAAAGAGGTCGATCAGGTTTCTATCAAACAAAGATTTTTGTTGGACTGAAGTAGTTCTGGAGAAGTTGTTGCTGCTGCTGCTGCTGCTGTGGTTGTCGTCGTCTTCACGAATGCCTCTTTGGGGTCCCCACCTGGCCCAGAGACACTGTGGGTTCAGGGTGCTTTGGCCCCTCCAAGGAACAGGTCCGATCTTTGGAGGTCCCGCCGTCTCTGGGATTCATTCGCTCCAAGTGGGAATGACGTTTTGAAAACCAGAGGAGAGGCCGGGTGGGTGGGTTAGAGGCTCGGGTGCGAGGGAAGGCGCCTTCCACGGCTTCTCTTTCGGGAAGGGAGGCGAGAGGCAAGGAGCGCTGGCTATTCCGCAGCCATCTTTACTTTTTCATATTTATGGTCTGGAATCAGGAGGGAGGCCGTAACTCAGCATATCATAAAACATCCCTTAGTTTATAATAAGTGAATTATTTACTGGCGACCCTGGCTAAACGGCTGAGTGGTATAAATTATTGAGCGACAGATCTGTCAAGAACTTCCCATAAATAAGTAATCTGGTGCCGTCTTAATGTTCCCACTAAATTACTCGCTCCGGCTTCCGTCTAAATGCTCTCTTGGGGATGTTACTGACGGTTGACTGGTTTATGAATTAGGGCTGGGGGAAACTGGGCCAAAGTTTTGCGACGGCTGGTTCCGGCACCCCAGAGGACTCCCCAAGAGCCTCTCCTCTCTTTCGACGGTTTGCACCCTTGGGGGGCCTGTTGGGAGCATGAGTGAGGAGAGTCCCTCCCCCAAATAAAGTCCAGGCTGCAATCGAAGACCTGTCCTGGCCCCTGAGTGGGCTTCCTTCTGAGTAGACCTGCACAGGTTGCCTTGCAAGATGAATGACTCTGTATCCTCAAATAACGTGAAGGTTGGCTTGACTGGTGTCCAAAGTGAGGATTTCCTGCTCCTCGTAAACTATAAATCGTGGGCATAAAAGCAGTCGTAAAGCACACAATGTATAAATCAGTTCTCTGCCAGCATCTCCTGGATTATGGAAGAGCCGCGGTCTGTGATGAATGGCCACGATTAGTTACTTCTGTTTAGTGGGAGGGAGAGAGGGAGAGAGATGGGGGGGGGAGAAGGAGAAGCCTGGGCAGTGCCCTGAAAGAGCTGAGCCAGAGAGAGGGGAAGTCAACGGCTGGGGGGGTGGGAGATAGTGTTCACCGACCCAGGGAAAACCTTTAGGGGTGTTGAACGTGGTGACCAAAACAGAGAACCCAGGGGGAGGGCAGGAGGCTTGAGAGCGGGGGAAGCTTGCGCCTGGGGCAGCCTCACCCCGGGGGGGGACAGACCCTGAGGCTTGTCGGAAAGGCTGGGGGGGGGGATGCCAGCAGAGGGCAGGGGGGATATCGTTGCACTTACTGCTCACCAATAAATTAGGGAAAAGAAGGGAAAAGGTAAAGCTTGTGGCTTCAGGAAACCTATCGTGGCAGCCCTGCACTTGGCTGCAAAACCACTGCCGCCGGTTCTCCTTGGGTGCAAGTCTTTCTCCGCCATTGCGGAGACGGCCGGTGGGGACAAAGTCGGGTGGAACCGGCCTCAGACGCTTCCCATATACGGG